CGCGCGCGCGCGTCCGCGTCCGCGAGCGGCTCCGCTGGCTCTACGTCATCGCGTGCAGGTGCCACGGGTCGCCACAGCGCACAGCGCGCATCGCGTCTGGTACGTCCTGGTATCCCTTTGACGGTTGTTGATGTAATACTTACTTGCTTATACAGCCATCGTCGCAGTCCCTCTTCGCCTCCATCTCGAGCCGGAACCGCGCGCCCCAGCAAGACGAGCTCGAGACCTACCTCGAGGCTCCCCCGCTGTCCTCCGTTGAGGATCCCCTCCAGTACTGGAACCTTATGTTGAACACATCAAACTCGGCGCTGGCCCGGATGGCCATTGACTTCTTGACTGCACAAGGTAAGCCTGCGTCGTCGTTGATCTGTTTCCTTCTATGCTGACTATGACCTCTATTGTATAGCCACTTCAACAGACTCAGAGCGGTCATTCTCCCGGGGCAGGCTTACGGTCTCGCGTCTCCGCCACTCTCTCAGTGATGAGTCGGTGCGTACCGGGACCGTTCTCGGCTCGTGGAGTGATATCCCCGAGCTGGTTCCCGAGGCGGAGGTCGTCTCCCTTCTCACGGAGAAGTCTCGCAAGACGGGCGGCTCGCGGGCGGCTACCCTTCCCGCGCCTGCGGTGGAGGTCATCGAGATCGAGTAGAGTCCCTACGCTATAGTGCCATGTATCCCTTATATTCTGTTAATGCAATCACCCCCGCTCTTTGTCTGTAACCTTGCTTGTGTGTATGTGGGCCTTCCTTATGCTTGTGTCAATGTGTGGCCTTGAAAAATCGCGTTTTTGTGTGGTTTGTTAACTTAGAATCTTTAATCAATTATATATTTCTCGGATACGGATCTCTTAGCAGGTTGACCCGTAGGTTGTAGGTTCGGATCCGCGGATCCAGCTCATTTCACAGATCATACCCGTGCAGCTCTAGGTTCAAGTGGTCGACCTGCGTAAACCCGTAGGTTCGGGTCCGGATAACCTGTAGGTTGATCCGTGTTCAGCCTTATAGAAGCGCGAATGAGAAGAGCCCAGTGGTGGTCATTTGGGGTCGAAGGGCTCCAGGCGAGGTTGGTTTGGGCAGTAATTGGGACACCTTGCACGTCGCGCTCGAGGATCGGCGGTGCACCTAGACAACACTCGTGAAACCACCGCTCACAGCGGGAGCACCACCGGAGTGAGTCCTCGTCGGGAGTGTAGATACGCGAGTGTGGAGCGATGCAGCCGTCACGGCAGATCGGCGTATACTCCTGCACGGACGTTGATCAGTCGTGCGAGAACGAGAGGCAGGCCACCTACCATCCCCAGAACGAAGTGGCTTAGGGGGCTCTGGTCACGCGTGTATCTCATCGAGTGCAATACGATGTTGTGTCTCCAGAATACGTGGCCGGGAGGGAGGATTGGAAGCATTCCCACGCCGGTGTCATAGAAGTCGACAGTATCGATTTTTCGAACGACCGATTTGGCGTTAAGGATCAACGACGAACTGGTGGCGACGAGTTCGAGCTTGCCGACGGAGGAGATAACTTGCCAGTGCATCTCGTTCTCGTCCCGGCGAAACTGGCGGGCATTCAAGGAATTCCGCCCAAAGAGCAGATTGCCTTCTATGTACGTCTGTACGCCCGAGGACCTATCAGCCGGCGAGCGCGGCCAGGCAATGTGCGAGGACGTACGGTGTTGATGTCCGATGGCGTGCGATAGCCAATCCTGGTGACGAGGATGCACGTCATGGATGTGGCGTCCGTGAGGGCGGCTGCCTCAGTGCGCCCGACGCCGCCGGACGCAATCTGCATGCTGACGATTGAAAGGGAGTGAATAGCTGCGTATGTGCATCAGGCAGGACGTACATGTAGCCGACGGCTACGACAAGTTGTTCGTTGGTCTGCGGAAACGTGACTGTAAATGAAGTCAGATTGCAGGTTACACAGGGAGGTGCGCACACGCACTAGTGCAGTGAGGAACGATGAATTTGTTCTCAAATATGTCCCGGTCCCCCGCAGGCCCTCGCCCTCGAACAGCGTAAACACCGGTCATCGCAGGCGAAGGGCGGCGTGCAAGAAGGGCGCAAAGAGCTAACAGGCAACACTTGCTAGAGGAAAATAAGGGAGCAGACCAGGGGAAGAGGTATCGGTGAGGAGCAAATTGCGCTGAGGGTTGAAGACGCAAATATTTGATCTATGAAGCTTAATGGCACCGCAGCTCATGAGCGCGGCATTCCAAATATGGTTACACGGTAATCCAGAGCAGAACGCACGGATGCTCTAAATAAATTCATGGCAGACAAAGCGCGCGCCACGAGAGGAATCACAGTTAGAGACGTTGGGCGCACCGCGCGCCGCTGCCGGGCGGAAGAGCTGTGACGCTGTTGAGAAAGCAGATTTTACATGTTTCTCTCTGCAGGTTGTAGGCCGTAGAAACAGCCGCTCGGCCATGTGCAAATACTCGCTATAACTGTCACTCATTGAGTCGACGAGCGTTAGCGGCGATAAATCAACCCAACAACACGTCGTCTCTGGCGGAAAATGTGCGTGTCATGCAGAAGTGTGTCTGACGGCGGAAGGTGTTCGCCCAAGCCAGCGCAATGCCTGGCGGACTTGCAGCTTCCAGAGCTGCGGCCCTAACCAGAGCATCAAAGTTCGTCTGGCAGCACACGCGCGGCGGCCGCGAGGCAGTCCGTCAGAGACCGCGTTATCTCTGACGGACATCGCAGCGACAGAGACGGGGGCGGCTCTGTCGCGCGTGTGTTCACCTGTCGAATCATCGTAACGGTAGGTCAAACAGCGAGGGAACGCTGACGGCCATGTCTCAGCTGCGGTGCAGGGACGCAACATTTGTCTCAATTCGAATTAATGTATATACTGTAAAGTTAATGACGGTGACGAGGCGAAATACTAGCGGTGGTTGTAATGTAAAGATATCGTTAACGTGTGCGATTGCGTCGGGGGGGACGGTCGTTCTCATCATCATCGTCGTCGTCCGCATGGTGACGGCGACGCTTGTTAGCGACCGTGTGTGGGAGGGACATGGAGGAGGAGGAACGAGAGCCAGAGGCAGACCTTCCCGCAGACGCGAGGAGATCACCCTTGTCGATGAGCTGCTGAGCTCCATGCAGGCCGAAGATCTCCACGACGAGGTTGTACGTGCCGTCCTGCGTCAACATCCGGTGCTTGATGTGCTTGAGCCATGCCCTAAGGCTCTCATCGGGCAGGATTTCGAATGCCTTCCCGTACTTGGGCGCATGAAGGATAGAACGACCCTTCCCGGATGCGATGCCGAGGCGCACCAGGTTGACCGGCTGCAGTCCCTTGTGAGCTGCATGATGAATACTGTTAGCCAGATGCCTCCACACGGAGCAGTCGGACGCACTATGCTTCTTCGTCCAGCCATCCCCGAGCTTGCCGTCGTTGTCCTCCAGGTATGGGTACAAGGGCGAGTTGCGGTCGATCCAGGCGAGAAGATAGATCGAGCACACTGTGTAGTACTGGCCTTGATTGTGCAACCCCTTGACATCCTTTCGAGCGACCCATGGGAGCGTCCGAACGAGCTCGATGACGGCGGCGTAGTCCTTGATCTTCGCAGAGTCCAGCGCACTGCGAACGGAGCTCATGATAGGCAGGGTATTGGAGGTGGGGATGAAGACATCGGGAATCTTCTTTGACATGAGATAGGCGAGGACGAGCGCGAGTTGACATTGCCAGTCGCTGATGGACGTCTTGAAGCGCTGCTCCGCCCACTGGTATGTGGCGATGACTATGTCGCTGGCGTTGGAGATGACGTTGTCGGGAAGTGCCCAATCGATAGGCAAGCGTGTGCGCTGGAACAGAGTGTGGTATGACTCGACATTGACGTGGCTGAGCTTCCAAGGCCCGTTGACGGCGGCGGCGACTAGGGCTTGACTGCCCTGTGCGAGTGCGAACTCGGCGTCCTCGCGAGGTGTGCGCATGGCTCGCTGTCCAGGATCGTCGAAAAGAGCGGGTTCACTGAGATATTTCCACGAGAAGATGGACGGCTGACGAGACGGGTTTTGGCCGTTGACGCCAGGACGGGCGTCTGGAATGAAGTGGATCTCGTGGGCGTTTATCGAGTGGACGAAGGCCGCCTGAATGAGCTCTTCCTTTCTGCCGTCGCTCACCTGAGCACCGAGACGTATCTTCGCCTCAGAGATGACGGTAGAAAGAACGGGATAGCAGGTGCCCTTTCCCCAGAGAGGTGCGCGCACAGAGCGTCGTGTCTTCGCGGTGCCCATGTTATAGAGAGAGCGGGCGAAGTCGGCGGCGGAGGATTTGGAATTGGCGGACAACGGAAGGCCGCGGGGGATGTCGCCTTCGGTCTCTGATAGCATGCGAGTGAGGTGGAGAAGATTTGCGCCACGTATTCCGTCGTACGCGAGGGGTCGATCGGCGTTGCCCTGCCACTGCTTGAACTCCGTGCGACGAATCTTCGCCCAAGCGTCTCCAGCTTCGATAAACGGGTCGTTGAACGCGTAGAACTGCAGCTCGATGAGATCCCGCGTGTCCGCGATGTACGCCTTGATCGCGATGTCGGCTAGGAGACGGAGCTCATGCGTGCCGACCCCAACACCTTGGAGGTCGGTGATGCGCAGGGACGCGATGGAGGTCTTCACGAAGAACTGGGTGATGTACGCCTGTGGGTGTTCCCGGTCAGAAAAAAGCGGCCATTGATCACTGAACGCGTGGAGCTCACCTGAAAATGGTGCTCGCCATAGGTAAGCTCTTGGGAGCGCTTGGACGACACAAGTGGCATCTTGGACATAGGATCGCATGGCCAATCCCGCAGGTCGATCTCCGGCGTGGACTGCTGAGCGCCGACGAGATGGAGAGCTTGCCAGAGCATCGGAAAACCGGTCTCCTTGATCGCGAGGCCGATCCAGGTGAGGTCCGTGAGCTGACGAGGAAAGACGCACGCGGCGCCGCAGAAGCAGAAGTTCTTGAGGCGTTCAAGGAGACCTATGAGCTCCAGGTACTGGTGCTCTGGCTGAAGAGGCAGACCAGCCGCGACAACGCCTGCCCCTAACGGCGGGTTACAGGCTGGGGAGCTCTTGAGGATGTCGACGATGCGACTCTGCCATGTCTCCTCCATCAGGGCTGTGACGCTGTAGCAGGCCCAAATGTAGACTTCGGGAAATATCTGTGGGCGCATGACACATCACATCAGCGATCGTATTATTACCGGCAGAAAGACAGAAACTCACATTGGCAATCAGGGCCACAGTACGCTCCTGCAGCGGATCCACAACGTCGGCGTGGTCACCCAACCGGATGATGGGCTTCACAACGTCGAGGTAGAAGCGGTCCCCGGAGCGAAGCTCAGGCTTCATGGAAAGGAGGTCGTGCATGATGACGATTTCGTGGCGCTGGTACGTGTAGTCGGCTGATGTGATCTGCTCAGCAAGACGTTCGTGGGGGAGCTGGTGTCGAGATCGGCGAAACAACTTGCGACTTGTGTCCTTGGCCTTTGGCGTCGTCGCCCACGCACCAGCCACCGTGCCGGTGAGGATGCCGTTCTGCGCGATGTGCGTCTTAGCGTCGTCGCGCATATTGTGAGATATGGTGTTGTAACATTGCGACTTGACGGCCGTCAGGCACTGTCGGCCGCCACCGGTGACACGGAGAGACCGCTCTAGCTTGCGAAGAAGGGGGAGGAGGGGCTTCATGATTCCCCGCGCCTGCCACTGCCCGTAGGTACCGCTAAAGAAATGGGGGTAGCGGTCGAATGAGGTGTCGGTGTCGAGAGAAGCGGCGGACGGAAAGAAGTGGGCGTGGTTGAACTCGTCGTCGCTCGCGCCGGCGTGGTAGTCATCAGCGCCATGGAGCTCGAACGCGGGGTCGTCGTCAACAGGGCGGTGAGTGCCGCGAAAGAGATCCTGTGTTCGCGTGAGGTCTTGGTAGAGGGCGCAGTAACTGACGCCTTCGGGGGGCTCGAACGCGAGACGACGATGGGCGCGGACACCGTGCTTGTCGTAAATAGGGATCTCCCTTCCGGCAGCGTCCACGACGGGCAGTGCAATGAGGTCTTCCAGTGTGAGTCTTGTGTGACCATGTGGAGTGGAGTAGACGGCGTGATGTGTGTTCAGAATGGTCTGAGGGGGAATGTCCTCCCAGTGTCCGACCGGGAATGCGCTAATGGCGAGGGTAGGGGCATATATCAGCAGAGGACGATGTCTGTCTCCGACACCGGTGCAGGTTGGACGGTACGTACGTGTAATGAAACGCGTAGGCCAAGGACATCCGGGCGACCTTCGAGTAGTCCGTCTGCCTGTTCCAGAAGTGACGTTCGTCGTCGCTGGCGCCGATCAGGGTGTTCTGGCCGTACTGGATGGTGACTGCGAGAACGCGAGAAGCTTTGAAGATGCCGTTGCGGTATGAGCGTGGAGCGAGCTCAAGCCACGATGAATAATGCTCCCTAATAGCGTCAGAGAGCTTCTTGTACTGCTCGAGCCGCATCTCGAGAGGTCCCTTGGTACTAGAACGGTAGAGCGTAAGCAAACGTAGTCGGCGCAGCGTTAAACCGGGCGACAGAGAGCAGATCAGCTCTGGCGCTGAGCCCTCCCGGTACAAGTAGGGGAGGGAAAATCGCTGCAACAGGTGAATGCCGGCAACAGAGATGCAGTAGTGTCTGACGCTTGCCGCAGCGCGCGGCAGAGAGACAGGGCGCTCTGACGCCGCGGGTGCAGAGAAGAAGGTCGAAACCGGAAGACTCACATAATGTTTGTCGCATCGTTGAAGAGGTCGGCATCATCGACATTTGGGTACTTCGGCGAGATAATGTGGGCCCCGAAACCGGTCTTCGCGAGCATCCACGAGATCATGGCCAGTAGGATGCGACTGTCCCGCGGAGACATGCGCGCGTACTCGGTAGAGGGCTTGAAACCGTGAGGAACGGGACAGCCGATGTCTTCCATCGGTGCCATGACCAACCAGACGTGGTCGCCAGCGTTCGTTACACCGAAGTACGCGATCCTGCCCTCGACAGGCATTCCAATAGGAAGACGGTCGCCTCGGAAGTCCCAATTGCGGCGATCGGGGCGAAGTGTGAATCTCCAGTTCGGGTCGTGAGCAGCACCAGGGACACCCAAGTTCGGAAGAATCATGGCGATTCCGGGTTCCGCCGCGACCATCTGCTTATAGTCGAGTCGAACCTGTCGTTCCAGAAAAAGGTCAGCACCGGTTGGCCCGCGTTCGGGGGTAATACACGTACCTCCTGCCTCTCCCACGCCAGGTTAGGGTCGTCCGACGGGATGATGTACGCGCGGTCGATCTTGAGCCGGTTCTTGGAATGTAGGAGGCGGATGGCTGCGCGCGTGTTGTTCGTGCTGTGCCAGTGGTAGAGCTGCGAGAGGTATACCGTCTTGACCGGCAGGGAGTCGTACTGACGTCGGCTTTCAGCTGCAGAAAGGGGCACCCTGGAGATGCCGGTCGTGAGCTCTTCCTGCGACATCGCATCCTCGACTTCAAGGGTCGGTGGGACCGCCCTCTGCTCGTAGTCGAGAGCGTCGATGAGGTTGGCCTCTGGGTCGTAGAAAGCGGTAAGCCCGAGCGCGTTTCTGTTTCCGTCCCCGTTGTTGCTGTGTCCTGAGTCCGACGCCTCCTCATCACCGTCTCTGCCATCATCCAGCTCGTCAACCACCTCGCGCGTACTGAAGTTGGACCAGCGGTCAGAGGATCTAATGAGAAATGTACGAAGGTCAGCGGAAGCTTAAGACGTCACATGCGAGCTGTATCGCTCACCGGTGTTCCTCGTACCACCTGTTTGGCTCATCTATGGACGGAGAGCGGGGTGCATTCGGAGCGAAGAGCATGGCGAAGGTCGCAGGAGAGCCGGGAGCGTTGATGACAGGGGACATTGGCGCAGGAGTGGAGAACCGGGCGTCGTTATCCCGTGAGGAGGAGGATGAACGGTCGTCCAAGCCACGGGGAACGAAGAGGGGCTCATTGAGAATGCGAGACTCCTCTTCGGGCAGGTGCACAGGCGTAAAGAGCCGGGAGGGGTGTCTGGCACCAGCGGGGGTTGGGCGCCCGTAGATGTCACCATCAGCTTCGAATGTGTCGTCGTATGCCCTGCCGTCGTAGTCAACGTCAAAGTCGAGTGCATTCCTAACAGGTTCTTCTAGCTGATGATTGGGGGGGCGGGACTGGAGAGATCGCTCTGTGGGCAGCCGCAGAGGAGGTCGTCGTGCAATACACCGCGGAGGAGGGAGGGGTGGGTGTGAGGAACGGTCATCAGGCTCGTCCTCCTCCTCGTCGGAGAAGACTCGACGACGGAGGCCGCTGAACTGGCCGCCTTCAGAGTCGTTGGTGGGGGCTAAGTAGATGCTATCGTGTGAGCGGTGGGCTGAGTGGAACTCGCCAGCGTCGTCGGAGTCGTAGTCTGTCTGTGACATGGTGCAAGGGGAAAAAAAGCAGCAGATGGAGAGAATGTGGAGGATTGACCTATATGCAGCTCCTCGCCCGGCTATGTCTGCGTGATTGGGGGCCTGGCGCGACGGCAGCGCAGAGACGGCGACCTCAGACTGCCGGCGCAAGCCTGGCGGGATGGTAGCGATCAATTTGGCACTCCCCTTTCGGCCGTGTGCGCGACTAAAAGCGCGGAGTATGGATCGAAACAGACTAAAACTCTGAAGCTGTGGCTGTGGGCGGGTGAAGTCTAACCTAACAGCGACGATTGATGATCTCGCGAGGGCGCGAGCCTCCACGTTTTGAATGCACGCGACCCCGGATGGCGGAGCCATTCCAGTGACGAGACATAAGTACAATGGTAAGAGGCATATGGCGTACATGAGTGTGGTTGGAGCATTGCAGTGATAAAGAGAACGCAAAGCTAATGAGCGGGAAGCGAGGAAGAGGAGCGCACTACGGCGCGGCAGGGAGTGTGGGCACACATCGCCGCTGAAATGAGACCGGGACGGGATACAAAAACTACGGCAGATCATAGTGTCACACCCAAGCGCGGCGGCCCCATGATGCTTGAGATGGATCTTGAGCGCATAAACGACCGCAATATCTAACGGCAACAGCCGCGCACCGCCCGCCGCTATCTGCCCGCAGACTGAGAGTACCAAGACAGAGGTGTTGATGCTTCAGCTACGAAGCCGCGGACGGCGCTGACTGAGGCGCGGTCTCCGACCCTGCACCACGTAATGAGCGAAGAGGGCGCAGTTAAGAATTTGCGAGCGACGCGGACATACCGGGTGGCGCGACGTCTGGCGCAATTAGGCTGATTGTCGGTTCCGCACAGGTTGCAACGTCCTCCGGCCTATGCAACAGGCTATCTTGGGGCAGCCAATCAGGCGCGGAGGGAAAGGCTAGGCCACCACGGAGGACTGTGTGGCTCTGGGGCCCAGTTTGGTCGTTCCTGGACGTGCGCTCGCGGACGGCGCGATCAAAAAGCGCGAAGGAGTCTGGGTCTCTTGCAGCGTACTCCTCTACTGTACGATACGCACGTCGGTCCGCAACACCATCAATGGCCAGAACGTGTGCTTGCGGCACAGAAGTGAGGGCGGGACGGGGCATAACCCAGGGGCGTCCGGTGGACTCCGGGTGCGCCTCACGGTACACGATGCGGTTAGCATTAAAATCGATCGCCTGCGTCATGATTGCGTGAGACGAGGGTAGAACAATGACGTCGCGACCTCACCTCAAGAAGTGCGTTGAGCGCGTTTGCTACACGGCTATCCAGCTCTTGTGGAGCCCCCGGCGCGGCCAACGTGGACGTCATGTGTCCGACGTGAACGACGAGTCCCTCCATCTCGCGTCGATACACCTCTGCCTGCGCATGCTCCAGGGGCTGCTCGTCCACAGGTCCGAGGGGCTGAAGGGGCTGTTCAGGAGCGGCGATCGCGGACTGCGGCTGAGAATCAGAGTCCGGCGGTTGGGAAATGTCGCGGATGTCGACGTCGGCGAGAAGATGGAGTATTGCGTCATCCCAGTTTTCCCAGCGGTATGCCTGCGGGTCCGCGAGAGGTGGACGTGAAAGTGTCGTGAGGAAGTCAAAGAAACGAGCCCGGAGCTGTCGCGGGGCGGGATGCAACCATATGGCGCGTCCCCAGGTTGTTTGAATCTTGAACAGCGAGTGAAGGTGAAAAACAAGGCCGCGTGTCTGCGACGGTGTTGCACGATTCACATGGTGGTGCCACGCGGTGTCTGTCAGGCGCAGCGCACGAAGGCAGGGATGCGCCGCGAGCGCGTCGGAAGATATTAGCTCAAACGCCACGGGGTGTCGCACATAGAGCTCCGGGTTGATGCGGTCGAAGTCGCCCCTGCCTGACTGGCCTGAAAGAGGTGGCAACACGTCGAGGAGTGCCATTGCCGTTGTGGAGATCGTCTCGGTCAGCTCCGGGCTGCACCCTGCTGGATAGAGGTCTGGAAGGGGACTGATCATCTCCGGATGGCCTGGGCGGATGGCTTGTTGGCCAAAGTGCATAAGGGTGCTCGCCGACTGCCTGAGAAAGGCATCGGCGTGCGTGAGGTCAGATGTGCTCACGACCTCGTTGACGGCTTTGAAGAGATCGAGGTTTGAGAGGACAAAATTACACAACTGTGAGCGCGCGTTGAGCAAAATCATGGCGGTGTGTGTCACGACACAATTTACCTCGGACGGAATCGCGTCGACCTCGCTCTCCGGAAACCTTCCTGAGCCCTGTAAGAGCACAACCAGATAGTGGGTGAAATCGCGGTAGTGCCGGTCGTTGTCGTAAACGACCGCATCGGCACGAGGGTCGAGCAACCTTGCAAGCTACGATGAGAGTCAGCCGGGCGCACAAGAATTGGTGATAACAAGGGAGACAGTATGTGAGAGCTGCCGGTGCAACTTGATGGCCGCCGGAGAGGGTTTAGGGTCCGATGGCCGCCAGAGACGGCGCAGGGTCTGATGGGCAACGGACCTGCCGTCGTCTCTGGCGCGCGAGCTAGTAATATTAAACGATAGGAATGCGGACAACTCACCCAGCGAACGGCGACGGAGATGTCGGAAAAGAGGTAGGCATGTTGACGCAGAAAAGAGACTGTTGGGAGCGGGAGGTTGATAGCGAAGCCGTCGTGCGCTATGCGCTGCATCCAGCGTAGCTTGTTGATCGCGTACGAGCTGGCCTGAACCTCGGCCGCACTCAAGCCAGCGTGCCTCGAGAGTGTCCATGTGTTGTCGCAGACCGAGACAAGGGACCGGTTGTAGGAGCGCATGCAGGCGTTCCAAGCTGGCGTCCCAATGGGTGGAGGAGGCTTCTCAGTGAGGAAACAGCCCCGGTAGAGGGTGTCGATCTTTTCCAGGAGGCCGTGCTCCCAGATGGCACTGACGTGCTCCCCGCCTTCTAGAGCCTCCATCATGTACGACCTGTAGCGCGCCTTGATGTCCTGCTCGCGCCCAGGGTCATCGGCGAGCCCTCCCGCACTCTTGACCTTCAGGAAGTTGCGCAGGACTTTATTGGTCTCTTCGCGGTCTTCAAATGAGACGAACGACGTCGTGCGAGCGCAAAAGTTCATTCGTTGAAGTCCGTCTAGCACCGCGTGCGCCCACATCTGTTTGAACCGATTATGTCAACGTGAGCAAAGGAAGGAGCCAAGACGCGCAAGGCTTACAAATCCATACACCCGATTGAGATTGTCACAAACGACCTTCCATAGCCCAGGCCTCTCTGAGAAGCGGTAGTAGGGGTACACGGCGAACGCCCTTAGAAATGCAACTGCAGCTGGCGATGTCAACAGCTTCTCGAATGCGTTGCGGTCGCGCTCCGACTCGTCCGCATGTATCGAGGGAAGGGCGATGTGGTCAGCCCATGCCGGACTACCGACGTCAGGTGCAACTTTGCGTGGGTGCATGGCGATCCAGAGCTCAAGGTGCTCCTGAGTCCGACTCAGCGACGTGAAGACGCGATAATTGAGCGACATGGTGGACCACTTTGGTTCGTGGTTGTCGGAGAGCTCCTTGGCCAGTTCCGGGGATACCTTCCCTGCGATTGGCGGCGGAAACGTTCAGGACAGAGAAAAGCAGACCGCGCAACCGAACCAACTCACAGATGTCGTAGAGGCGGGTGACCCACAGACCCGATCTGGTTGCAGCGTGTCGAAGAGTGGACTTGTGGGCCTCAAGGGTCTGGATGACGGCTGGGGAAGCGGTAGAGGGGTCCCGCTGGAGCTGTTCTAGGGCGGCGTCCACCTTTTGAAGGCGGATATCGAAGTATTTTGCATATAGCCGGCAGGCCCGGCGGCGCTTGTTCCCATTGAAGAAGAGCACACGAGATTGGGGCATGGCCTGGATGTTGAGTTGAATTGTAGGCAAGGTAACGAGCCCTGAGATATCGGTGGCCATGGACCCATCCTTGAGCCAGGAACGATCGATGGCGGCGTCCAAGGGGAACGCCCAGTGCCTTCGCCCGACCTTCTTGAAATCACTGGCCATCACAGCGACATCGTTCTGGTCAGGCTCCCCGAGGGTGCCATACACGCTCCACGCCGCCTGCGCGAGAAACGTCGGGTCGTTCAGATCGACCAGTGCGCAGCCAATGAACGCCTTTGCCCGCAAGTTGTAGAGTTCATGGCCTGTTTGGTCGTCGGTAGGTGCCGGCACTCCGAGCTCCGCGAGCAGGGAGCGCAGAGCGCGCTCGCGCTCCAAATCCTCCTAGACAGTACATCAAGCTGGGATAGGAAGAGGATGAGAAGTGAGCGCACCTGCACGACTGGTCCGGGGACTCCGATCACGCTATCCGCGGTAGACGCTTGCGAGGTGGATATGGAGATTGAGGGCAGAGACACAAGGGCAGCCAGCGGCTCGGGTGATGTTGGCGGGAGCTGAGCAAGTAAGGTTTTCGCTGGTGTGGGTGTCGGAGAGTCTGGAGGGGAGGGAATGTGATCGCGCGTGGTGGGTGACCAATCGACCAGATCGTCAGAGCGGTAATCCCAAGGTCCGCGCGCAGGGGGCATCGGAATGTCGCTGTCGTCGTCGACGAGCATGACGAGGACGCTGACACAAGCGAAAGATACAGAGTGGTAGAGGGGATCAGGAGCAACAGTCCAGGTGCGTGCAAACAGAGCTGCAGAGCGAGTGCAAGACACACGTCGCCCGCATGTTTTGGGCATGTTCGGACACCGCCGCACTGACAATAGCATCCGACGACGGGCGTCAGAGACAGCGCCATCTCTGTCGCTCACTCACAGAAGCGTAGCAGTAAGCAGGCTCAGACACAGGTTTGCTCGGACGCGCAAGACAAATACATATCATTGTTCTTTAATATGGTCGTACACAAACGGAAGAACGTCGTATCGTACAGGAGCGGAATATGTCAATAGTGCAGCGGGGAAACATTGGCGGAGAGGAGAACGTGGTCGAACGACTCAGCGCGAACCCCCGGCTTTGCGCGTTCCGTACACCTTCGCGGGCGGAAGCACCTTCGCAGACGGGTGACTGCCCTGACCTGCAGGGCGGCGTGATGACTGCATATTGAGGTTTACTGCCTGCTCCATGGTTGTGACCCTGCGTTGTGGCGCGGGGAGAGCAGAGGTGGAAGCGATGGGGGACCCGCCAAAGGGATCTTCCCCGTCGTTCTCCTGGTACTGAACACTCTTGCCGGCCTTCCTTTGCTTCGACGGCCGTGGCGCCTGGCTGGGAGAGGTGACGGTGGTGGCGCGAGGGCGCTTCCCCGGCGCCGGGGCGTTCACAAACACACCCTCGAACCTCTGGGTCGGCATGTGCGGCTGATTGTCATTTTCAGCCGCCACAAGGTCGAGCGCCTGAGTCGCTGCGGGTGCAAGCGTTAGGGTGCGAACAAGACGGCAAAATGCGCAAAGAACCTACTCCAGTCGTCTGCGGCCGCTTCGTTCCTCGCTGAAGAACGCCTCTGAACTGGCGGAGCGACGGAAGAAGCCTGCACCATGGTCTTCGACCTTGTGCTGTTGGCGGGGGCTGTTTGCGCAGAGGCAGGATCCTCATGGACGTCATCTGTGGGCTTGCGCGCGGGCTGGCGACGCGCAGCGGCACCGGGCTGTGCGGGTTTCTTTGGAGGGGCGGGGACATCGTCCTCTTCCTGGTCGTCGGCAGGAGGATCTGGGGCGCGACGCGCGCCTGCAGCACGGGCAGGAGCGGTTTGCGAGCGCTGCACAGGGATCGGCAGGTCGTCGTCTGACAGATGGACGGGGACGGTCTTAGCGCGCTGCGCATTCGCCGCATTCCTCTTCAGCGGAACCGGGGGCGGCGAATCGTCAACAGACGGAAGGGGGGTAGCCCTGGAGAGCTGCGTTCCACGTTTCTGTGGGATGGGGATGTTACTGTCGACCGGCGGAACTCTCTGGCGCTGAGCCATCGCTGCCTTTACTGGGGCGCGCGGGATGTCACCCGGTTGCTGCCCGGCGACGTCTTTCATCTTCCCTTTGCCTTGAGGATTGACTGGGCGGGCCTTGGGCTTAGGGCGGGGAGCCTCCGCATCGCCCTGAACGACGTGGCGCACCGGCGGGCGCTGAGCTCGCCGCTGCGGAGCGGGCTGAGCTCGCCGCCGTGGAGCGGGGTGAGGTTGCCGCTGCTGAGCGCGCACCTGTTGGCGAGCGGGAGCGGGGGTGGACTCGTCGTTGTTGTCGTCGTCGAATTGAAGCAGCGAGTCATCATCTTCGTCGTCCTCCAACTTGACTACAACGACGGGGTCGCCCTTGGCGGACACCTGCCAGGCGAGGTCTTGCGGAAGCCAGGCTCGAGCACAGTCGAAGCGTTCTCCGCCGACGACCTCTACTGTTGACGGATAGGGCACCTTGCCTTGCTTCAACGTCTTCACCTCATCAAGAAACTGCGCGTGGGCGTCGGGAAGCGCGTGGGCAAAATCGGGGAGGGTGAGGAATGCGTTGTCATCGGAAATGCCGACAAGCGGCGGAGCGTCTAGGGAATGCGCAAAGGGGGCTTCGGGAAGCACCCACGGCGCCTCAGCTTTGGAGTCGCCGATCGCGTAGCGGTGCTCGAGACGATTGACATTGAAGTGCAGGGCCTGAGAGCGGGTAGAGGTGAGGGTTGATAAGGACGCGCACAGAAAACATACGTACACCGACTAGGTGATTGAGGCATGCGACGACGTAGGAGTCAACACCCTTGGGTTGGAGCGGGGCAGCTGACGCACAAGACATGCGCTTGACGAGCGAGACGAGGCGCGAGACTTCCTGCGTGTACTTCAGGCGACGCGTCTGCGCGTCGACCACACCTGTCATTCCAAGGAAGATGATGTCGTCGGTGGGGTCGACGGGCTCAGTATCCGCGCCAAGAGCCGTGCCTTTAGCACCGCGTGTGCGACGGCCGTGTTTGACGACGTGAATAGGAACGTCCGGTGCGGACAAGATCGCCTTCTCGCCGGCGGCAATGAGCTCCGGATCGAACGGGTCAAAGTTCTCCATCCCGGAGAGCCTGTCGAGGAGGTCCTCGTCCCAGTTCTTCCACAGAAGGCGCTTCCGTGGGTTCTGCGGGTCGGGCGCGGTGTACTGCGTGAGGAAGCTGAACAGACGAGCGCGCAGAACGTTGACGACGGGAGACATGTACAGGGGTTGCCCCCAGCCGCTGAGGACGTCGACGATGACATGGAGATGCAGAGCGATCGCCAGGGCCCACTTGGGCTTGTTGCCGGCGGCCTGGTCGTTGGCGCACCATCGCGGGTCTGTCAACCTGAGCGCGTCGCAGAAAGGAAACGCTCCTCTGACTGTTGGGGGAATCGCGTCGTATGCGACCGGCTTCGCACGTTTCTGGGGGACGTCGCCCACAAGACGGGCCTGAACCTCGGCCTCGAGCATGTCGATGAGGGGATCCTTCTTCTTGCTAGGCAAGCAAGAGACGATGGGCGCCTTTGCCTTGTTCAGATACTTCTCGAGGTTGATGTTCCATCCCTTGCTGTAGAGGTTGCGAAAGTCGGTTGGAACGGGCTGAGCGACGCCGCGGTTGGCGATTTCCACACCGAGGACGCGGTACGAGTTCGGAGAGAAGCTGAAGATCCCGTCGGCACGCGCGAGATGAACCCAGACGATATCCTCGACCGCCTTCAGCAGCTGGTAGTTTTTGATAAAGAACGACCACAGCTGTGACAGAAAAGTGTCAGCGCGTTTGCGGGCAAGAAGAGGAACGAACGTACCGGCACAGAAATGTCGTACCCTTCCTTCTGGGGGAACAGCTTCGGATCGCGTAGGAGGAACAGAATATAATGAGTGTAATCGATGTATCCTCTGCCGACCTGACGAGCGACTGCATCGACGTGTGGGTCAAGGGTGCGCGCGACCTGTGGGGTATGTGATAAGTAAGGGTGAAGCGCAACGGGGCGACGGGCACACATCGGGCTTCGTCGCTCGCGATGTGCGGCAGAGACAGAGCCATCTCTGACGCACAGACCGCGGCGGTAGCGTGCATAGTACACGACGCGCATTAAAACTGATTGCGTCTCTGGCGTCATGTGCATGAGCGAACGAGCAGGCCTGAGCCTGCGGGTCGTCTGTCGCCATCTCAGTCCGCCAAAGCGCATGTCGTCTCTGGCGCTGTGGAGGTCCGCCCCAGACACCTTACCTTCTAGCGCAGTTGGGGCGGCATTGAAAAAAAATTCAAGGAGTGAGTGGACTCACGTGGCGGATAGCGTACTCGACGTTTTCCAGACGCGCATACAGGTCGTTCGCAAACGTCTTGGTTGGCAGGGGGATGTTGAGGTTCAGGCCCGCCTTGCACAGGCGGCGGCAGACGACAAACTTGTCGATGGCGTATTGCGCGACCTCCGCAAGGGCACTCCCGCTCTCCGTGAAGAGAGGCAGCGACCAGGCATTGATGCACGTGTTGGCCACCTTTGTGTTGTACACGAGCATTGCCTTGTCCCACTCCGCGGTACCCATCCTGGCCATCACAGGTGCGACGTGATCCTGGTAGATCTTGTCGATCTTCTGCATGAGTTCCCGTGGCCAGATGCCGGGGACGAGAACACCGGTCGTAGCAGCCACATGGCAGACCTTCTGGAACCTCGCCTTCACCTTGATCTTCTTCTCCTTGTCCCAGCTCGGGTCGCCGCCGCGCTCGACGAGGAGGAAGTAGTCGCGCATGAGCTCGCCGAAAGGACCTGGGTCCTTCCACGTACCGAAGGTGCTCGTGCGCGCAATGAAGTCCATCTGCCCGATGCCGCTGAGAATGCAATCGTGCCACATCTGCAAGTTGAATGTGAGCAACAGATCGTCGCAGAAGAGATGCGCAAGGTACATACATATCCGATAGTCTGGATGTCGGTCTTCGCCCTCGACGCCGGCATGAGGAACGTCTTGAGCTGTGTGTGCGTGAACAGGCCTTCGCCGCGGTAGTAGTCGTAGGTGATAAGACGGCTGAGGAAGGTGAATGCGATAGGAGAGCACAGGATCCACACGGCGGCCTGGCCCTTCCTCTCATTGTGCGCGATGGTGGGTTGCACGATCAGGTTGCGCCACTCCGGGCTGTCGATCGCGGGGACCGGTTCGCCGGGGTTGGTAACTTTCCACTCCTGAACACGCTGCTGCACACCGCGCATCCAGGTGAAGAGCCGCTCCTCCACGCGCATCTTCTCCTCCTGCAGCTCGTTGTTCTCAGACAGCTTGTAGGCGAGCTCGTCCGACGTTTGCTCTGCAACGACGTGAGACGTCAGCCGCACCGCAAACACCTGCGCAAACTGGCATATACGTACTGATATCCGATATCCGTACCATCCAATACCCCGCGTTGTCCCGCTCCTGCAACGACTCGCTGCGAAGCTCCATCAGCGCGGCCATCAGCTTGTCCGATATCTTCTTCCCCGTCTCCTCCGCTTCAGCGAGCTGGCTGTCGAGGTCCTTGATGACCTTGTCCGCTGCTAACCACACGGCGATACACGCGTGCTTGCGGTGCGAGCCGCTGAAGAACGTGATTGTGTGGTCCCCCATCTTCTCGGGCTTGAGTTTGAGGATGGGGATGGATTCCAGGCTCCCGATCTCTTGGACCATCGAGTCGGGCTCGATCCAATCGAGGTCGAGTGCGGCCTCCAGAGGAAAGTCCCAGTGGCGCTTGCCCGCCGTCTTGAAGTCGGTTGCGAGCCCGAGGACGGTGTCTTGGTTCGGAACGCGACCGTTGAACTCCCCCCATTTCGCGCGCTTCAAGAACTCGGAGTCGCACAGGTTGACGATGGCGTAACCACGGAACGCACGCTGTCGCTCCTGGTAGATCTTCTTATCCGCTGGTGTGATGCCGGTGCCACGCAGAGGCGGCCCCGCACCCTTCAGCCGTGCGATGATCTCCTCCTCGTCGAGATCAGAGTCGAAGATGGACACGAGAGGACCACGGTCCTCGTCCTGGTCGTCGTCGGGGTTTCCACCTCTCCTGCGCGGTGCTCTCAGAAGAAGCTTGTCGGCAAGCGCCTGGGCGTCTTCTCCGAATTGATCTGGGCCATCTCCGATCGCGTCGTAGAGCATCCTGACGCTACGCGCCATGGGCTTGTCAGCGTCAGGTAGGAGCCTGCCCTCATCGGCGACGTTGTACTTGAAGACATCGACCATCGCGTTCGTCTGGGACGGGCCCCGTGCACGGTCAGCATACGGAAGGGAAATCAGATGAGCCACTCACAAAGCTGGGAGGCAAGTACGGGCCCTGGGGCTCGTCCTGGGGAAGGAGGTTAGCGAGGACACACGAGACATGCTCCGACAGAACGTACCATGTCTTGGTCCTCGGGGTCAACGTCCATCGCATTGTCCGGAGCGAGTTGCTTCTTCGACTTTCCAGAGTGGCGCCTGGGGGACTCGTCGCCCTCCTCCAAGTCTTCGTCTACCTCGACTGCGCGCTGTTTGCCCTTGTTCCGGGTGGGCTGGACTGGAGGGTCATCGTCACCTCCATCGTCAGCGCTGAGGTGATCGTCCTGTAAACAGCAGTTAACAAAGTGTTCTGTGAAAGAGACACGCTCTGCTCACGTCGTACGCATATTGATCGTCCGAGTACCTGTGGGAGTCTTGATACATCGACGCTAACAGAAGTGCGTCGGTCTCTTCGGCCTCATCGCTGTTGTACACGTCCTCGTCCTCAGGGTCGTTGAACTCATCATCCTGAGGAGGCCCTGCGTCGTCCTCGACATCTCCCTCTTCTTCGTCCTCAACGGTGGCCCGTGACCAACCCTTCTTCGGTGGCAGCGGGAGGTCGTCGTCGTCCTCGACGGCTTGCTGTTGACGGCGTCGGGATGTACTGTGGGGTGGTGGGGCACGTTGCCATCAGGAGAGCATGAGGGTGCGCGAGGTTATTGGGACTGACCTGCGATCGGGAGGGTTCGGAGCCTCGTCCGATGCGTACTCTTCACCGCCGTCCTCGTCGGGGACAACGTGAGCGAACGCGATGGTGTTCCTTTTCGGGCGTGGAGGCGGGGCCGGGACATCTTCGTAGCTGGGGTCGTCGATCTGTGCAGCGGCACGAGATGACGACGCCCTCTGCGCAGGTTGGGATACGTGCTGAGGGGGGAGTTTCTTGGGATTGCCGGACTTCTGGCCGGTCTGCTGCGTGCGCGCCATCGGAGAACAGGACCAGTGAGGGAATGGAGGGCAAGAAAGTGGGCGGGAGCGAGACAGCAGAGGGTGAGCGGGCGCGCGGAGTCTCGCATAGATATGGTGTCCGTGCTGCGAGCAATCAACTCGATCAGCTCACAACATGCGCGATCCGCCCGGATCTGCTCGCCGCACGTTGAAGTCGTGGGCTGGAACAGATGCGAGCGCGATATGCGCACCGAGGAAGCCACACAGCGACCTCTCATGATCAGCCCCTGGCGATATCGACTGAATCCACGCACCTATATCCGAGGTCGGAGATTGCACAGAAGGTTGTGCACGTCCCGGGTGCATTCCGAATGGAGGGGCGAAGGCGGGACAGAGACAGAGACAGAGACAGCTCTGGCGCCGGCGCTAAAAATCCGCAACACCGCGCCAGACACAGCGGTAGCTTTGGCGCTCCAACACTGCGCCAGAGACGTTGTCGCCTCTGATGCCCGGGTATCGCGTCCGTCTGCGCCATTGAGATGGCAGCGGTTGGTATGGCGCGTGAACTTTGCGCAATACTCCTCTGTTGTATTCGGCCCGGGACGTATCTCGGCCTTTTTAAGAAGGTGCCGCCGTGAGTGTCATGCACACTCGCGGCACACACACGGGTATCCGCGGGCGCGGCTGACCGGACGCACTCCCGCGAGCTGTGTCTGCGCGAGGCTGAAGAGCCCCCGGACACGTTGTGCATGCGCGTCCGGGCTGGTGCGCGCGAACACGTCTAGGCTGCACATTGTGCCCCGTCGCTGGCGCATTGTGCAAAATCCACTAAGCAGGAGCAGCGCGTAGACTGGAGAACAAGTACGTACCAAAATGTAAATACGTATGGAGTGCGTAGACATGATCGTAGCGCACACGACATCGTTCTGCGGAGATCTGAACATGTCGCCGTTGTCTGTTGTACGACGCGCACGTTGTGGTGCTCGACTCGCTGTACACGAGATAATCTGTGCTCAATAAACGTCAGAAACTCAATTGGAAGCATATCGTACAGGAAATAGCTGACTGCCTGGACCGCACGCCCACCACGCCGATCGTAGGAGATCCCGCTCAGCCATGCGCGTGTACCTGCTGTGGGTACTGTCCATGCGCCGTGTCCCTCCGCCGCACCTCCTGCTGATGTTTTACGATACATACTCTACATGTCAAATACTCAGTAGTTAGCTTTGAATAATAAGTTGTACATACCGATCAACTCTGTCATGCCGACGCCGTGTTTGTGCCCGTCTCTGCGCTGTTTCTCCTCTGCCTGAAAAGAAGTCACTCTTGCAAACTATGGAGTCCTGTACGGTGTTACGGCTGTTCATCAATTCAGTAGCTATAGTACATGGACGAGATCGTGCGCATAAACAAGACGGGACGAGAAAAGGATACACAACCCAATCTATGCACATGTCAGCGCTGGAAGGTTCGGAGATGTGTATACAGATGTGCTAGACCGCGCGCCGTCTGTGAAAGACATCGTGCGCGGAGACGTACCGCCCTTCATCTGCTCGTCTGCCTACCCCTGTGCCAGGTCGTCGGCAGCGCTGTCGTTCCAGTCGCCTGTCTCTGCAGCGAGTTCAGCATTTAACATCGTTCAGTGTGTGTCAAGCACTCACCTGAGTAGCGGCCGCAGTACCCATCGCACACAACGGGGGATCTCCATCCCGCATCGCACGCGTTCTCGTCTGGACTGTATTCGCGGGTGCGTGCGCGAGTCGTGAGCATGGAACTCCTGAAGGCGCTGCAGAGGGCCGCAACGTCCGTACCTGATATCTGTCGAATGCGCTGCCTGTCCGCAAGTACGGGGCCTACGGTCGTGACGCCTGCGGTCCCGTGCGCCGCGGGTGCTGCGCCAATTGTGCGGCCGTACAATGGGCGCAGGTTTGCATGCCCGTGCGTGGTGTCGATCCCAATGTCGGGGAGAGTGGGGCCGACTGACGAGGGGAACGATATGTAGCCCAAGAGCATGGGAGACGCGGGGGTGGTTGATTTCCTATTGAGGTGAAGACGGTCTATAGTCGCAGTCCCGGCGGCGCTACTCTCTTGCACCTAAAGCAAGTCAGTCGCGAACGCTGCATGACGGATGGCGGAGCTTACCTCAGCGCTGTCTAGCACCCCTTCCAGATCCCACTCCTCCTCGTCCGAGTCGCATACGGTCTCAAGGTCCGGTAGGTCATCCCTTTCCGAGACGACGTGGGCTTCGGTGGGGCTTTGGAGTGTTTGTTGCTCGCCTTGAACGAGCGTATGGAGCTCGATAGCCATTCTGAGGCAGAGGACGTCAATGGAGACCCAGAGGGTGGAATGAGTGGCGAGACCGGTGGGAGAGATGAGGGCAGAAGGCAGGTGCGAGAGACTGTAAGACGCGGAGACCCGCATGTCCGCAAATAGAGTCCGCCATGCCGCATTCGCGAGTCCGTCCGGGGTCCGGGGGCCGGGCCGATAAAACAGAGTTCGTGCGCACTGCGTGCACGTGGCTGCTCGGGAACTGCCCCATGAACAACAGCGCCAGAGGTGGCGCTGTCTCTGACGGACGTGCGCACACTTGCTGTGTATCTAGAACTCACATTAATCTTGCTGGCTGATTGCCCTAACATATCAGAGACAGACCTCGTGCTGTCTCTGGCGGACTGGCGCACCGTGAGTGAGTGCCCGACACCGCTTTCGGTCCGGCCCAGCGTACAAACGGAGACAGAGCTTGCGCTGTCTCTGGCGCACTTGCGCACACTGCTGGATCCTCGGAGAAAATAAAGTTAAATGTCATTCGCGCGGTCAGCTGCCTACCATGCGAGGAGACAGAGCTTGCAGTGTCTCTGGCGCACATGTACATACTTTGTGATCAGCCGCCGCTTTATTTTTTTGACATTACCGATCGTGCTCGATACCATTTCGTTATGGGCGGGCACCAGAGACGACAGTATCTCTGTTTCCAAATAGGCGCCCGTGCGCATTGCACAGTGCGCCGCACAGACTTCTAAATACATCTCTGGCGCAGAATAGGCGCCCACACGCCAAAGTGCCCGCTGCTAGTGCGATTAACAGAGTTAGACTTTCGCATAAGTGGATTCATATTCCTTGATGTCTAAGGTATCCATAAATCTACTCAAAACAGCCACTTTGGCCCAGAAATGCAAAGTCTACCTCAGGTCTAACCCTAAGGGGCCCATTCGTTCGCCCTATATATTAACAAACACCACACTCCTCCCTTCCTTCTCCTTAACTCCCCTTAAAACACCATAGCTTACACTCCTCACTACTCCTTAACCCTCCTCAGCCCTCAAAAAACTCGCCCATTAACCCCTACTACACTATGCCCTACTTCCACTTAACCCTCTTTCCAGCATGCACCCTTGCTCTGCCTTAACTTCCCTTAAATTCCTTAAAAACTCGCCCACTCTCCATCTTAACACTATAGCTTACTGCCTTATACACCTATAGTTTCTCCTGAACACTCCCTAGTTCATAATCTGAATATCCTACATATACTTATAGACAGGCAAGGTTGGTCACAATATTATATAATCTGTCACTCTTTGTGACCTAAGTTGCCTGCCAGGCAAGGTCAGTCACAAGATGATATAATCTGGTCACACTATGACCTAGTTACATCAGCTGCCCACATCAAGATATCATGTCATTGATCTATGTATCTAGGGTCAGGGTTGATAAGGGGGGACCTCAAATGCTTAGATAACCAGGCTGGATCACATTGTGATGTCATTGATCTAGCTAGGGTCAGGGTTGATAGGGGGAGCCCTCAATTGATTATGTCAGCCTGCCTGCCAGATTACTACACAATATAGTAGGCTCATATTCACTGAACCAGACCAGATATATTTATGAGACAACTTGCACATTGTAGCCATGCTC